TTTAAAGAGTTCTACTGGCCTTATCTTGCAATCGTAACTTCTTGAAATTAAAACAAAAAAATTGATAGGGTTTTAATGGGGTCTTCTTTGCCTGTTCCTTTGATTTGAAAATAAGAGCAGGATTGTGAGAAAATTGATTCATTTCCTCTGACACATCATTTTTTAGTCAGGATTCAACAAAGTAAAATCTGTTTCAAGAAGGCATTTATAACTATGTTTAATGGTTTGAGAACATTTAATAAGTTCTTATACTAAGCATCAGACTGAACTCTCTGTACAATTTAAGAGAGAGAACCCTCTAGTCTTATAAAGCTGGAAGATTCTCAAAGTTAAAAATATAAAGCTGGGAGGTTATTTATGTTTTGGGATTTCTTAGACTGTGTTTAAACCTAAATTTAATAGTAAAGGCATATCATCTACACAGTTATCATTAGAATCTCATTAATAGTGGTATCAGATAATTTTCCTTCCATAGAGATTTCATATTTCCTTTTCCATAAATGGTCTTCCTTATACTTGCTACATCTTCATGCTGCAAATTTATCTTTTTCTTTACAACTAAACTTTTTTTGAGAACACTTTACACAATAGCATATATACATATACTTAAAGCAATATAGAATTTTTTCCCCCATTGAAATCTTAATCTCATTAAGAAAACAAGTAAAAGTAGAACTCCTTTGTTTCAAGGGCAAGGAAGAAGCCCTATCACTGCTACTCTCCTATTCTTCCCTCTTGCCTACCCTGAGGCACCACTGTTGATCACTGGGGTTAATTTAATAATTGATTTCAGCTTTTAAATCCTCTGGTGCAGATTAGTCTTCCTTTGTTCCCCATCTAACCAGCGATTTCTCAACTCTCTGAAATGGCACTGACTACTAAGTGGTCTTATGTATTTACATTTATTTGGTTTGCTGTTTTTCTGTCTGTCTACTGGAGCAGGGATGCCACGTGGAAAGGAATTGTTTGTCTTGTTTACTGCTGTTTCCTGAGAACTTGGAAGAGTCTGGGCGTGTAGGTGCTCTGATACTGTTTTTGAATGAACTCAAGAAAGAATGATACCTGAATGACTCTGGCTTTCACCTGCTTCTACTAAAATAGCTATCAGGAGTACCCAGCAAACTCTTACTCACAGATTTCTGTGACTGGAGAATGATAAGGAAGAGTGATCACCATTTCCTCTTGAAACTCTCCTTCCAAAAGTTCAATACCATTGTGTTGTCTTAAGTCTGTACCTTGTGTGTCCTCCCTGGAGCAGCATCTTCCATCTACTCTTTGATTTGGGCATTTTCCCAGGAGCCGAGCTGTTTCGTCCCTTATTCCTTTGATAGAATCATTCACTTCTTTGGTGTCAGTGATTACATCTATAGAGATGATTCCCAGTCATCTTAGTTCATATAAAATAAATGATATTTAGTGAGTATCTGAAATGTAACAAGGACTGTGAAAAGAGTTGAGAATAATTTTAGCCCTGACTCCCAGGACCTCAGAATCTTGTGAAGGCACCAAACGTGGGAGTTAACAATAGAATACAACGTGGTAAATGGCACATTATGAGTAGATACAAAGTGGAAGAAGTGATTCCCTTTGGGTCAAGATGGTTTCATGGAGGAAGTAGTATTTTAGCAAGACAAAAATAGGAATTTTTCAATTGGAAAATAAAAGGTGAAGGATACCTCACAAGGGAAGAACACATGTATACTTAGGGAATGACCAATAAGTTTGTTTGGGAAGAGGAAAAGATCTTTGATGTGTGCTATGTAGATTTATTTTTAATACAAGGGACTGACATAATCAAAGTTTTCAAAGAGATCTGGTAGCTATTATTTTAACAGCTTATTGTAACATTATTAAATGTCTTATTATAATAATGCATCTTCCTAAATCCTAGGAAGTTGGAAATTGACCAACCCATGCTCATTGCTCCTAGGATAAGGTTCCAAAGGCCAGCTTCAGTTATGTCGTTCCTCAACTCAGAAACCTGCAGTGGTTTCCTGTTGTTCACTAAATTAAGAATAAGTTTTCCTCCACAATCAAAATGCTACACCATAAGACTGCAATCCGACTTTTTAATCTCATTTATTAATATTATACATCACATTCATTATAGCCAAATCCGTTGGAATTTGTTTTGCTGGTAGTCTTCTCTGTGTGTCAAAGTTACACTTACCCTTCAGTAGCCACCTCGCATGCCATCTCCTTTATGAAATCTGTTATCACAATTAGATATTCTTTTCTTGTCTCTTGCTATTTTAAAGCAGTTTGTACTTCTAAGTTATTTACATGCTTGTACTAAGTCCTCCGTGTAACCGTGGGCTTCTTGAGGAAAGGGAGTGTGTTTTATACACACGCTACCTTGTCCCCTTTCACCTGTTCACTCTTTGCATAGTGCATTGTCTTCAGTAGGAGCTCAATAAATATTTGCTAAATTGAATTATCAAAATGATTTATTGGATTTTCAAAGCTAGGGATCATGAGTTTGACAATTTTTATGTCCTCTGAGCTCTAATCATACTATTACGTGTTGACAGACTCAATAAATATTTATTGAATTGAACTGAGATGTGTGTACTAAAGCTCAGTCTGTAGTTTGTCCAACTTGTTTGACACATTAGAAAAAATCCATATCCAATTACAACAGTAAATCATGTGTAAAGTTGTCAGGGAGTGTTATAATGACACCTTTTTTCTCCTTTGCTTTCTAGGGAGCGGTAATGAATGAAATGGAAACCAAACTCATTGGAAGTGACAAATATGCTGCAAGATTTGGGGAATCCATAGTTAATCTTGGTGACATTGACAATGATGGCTTTGAAGGTAATTAAAATTATCTAATTTGGTATGTGATTCCACTTTTGGGATGGCTCACGGAAGATAATCTGATTGGAGTTTTGTACTGTTTGCCTGTCTATAGAAAATGGATCCAGAATGGTATGCTAAGTTTTCTTTTTAGTGTTGCCTCTGACTTCTCAATTGTCAGCTATTGATCCTACCATTGTTAATGACAGATGATATTCAAAATGCTTATTTCATTGATTCTAAGGCACCACTGATTAGAAGTTGCATTATTATTTATATGCCCCTACAAAATGCCCATTAAATAGCGACATGCACCATTTTTCTATTTTAAGGAGAATCCTGATTTCAGAAATAATGTGGAGTTTCTGAGAAATATGTGCCATAGACTCATTGAACCATGGTATCAGTACAGTGAAAACACTGACCAAACCCAACAGGTTGGCTGCAGAGCCGGAGCAGGGTTCTGGAAGCCTCCTGCTGTGCCAGACATTCCTTGTAGCCATATTGTGGGAGGATTTGGGGAATTCCAGGCCAGAGTTCTGAGCAGTGGTGAGGAGGCAACTGTGAAGAAACTCAGGGACTGTGGCTATTTATCCTCTGATAGAGAAGTATTTCAATAATTGAATAGACGGTCCTCTTATAACTGCACATGGCCCTGGATAATCGGCCCTGTTGTTGAAGTGCCTATGTCGACCTGTGTTCCTCTTAAAATTTGCTTTTTTTGACCAAGTACTGTGTGGTAAACAAGTCTGTTAAAACTGCATAAAATGATGAATAGGTTTGAGAGGAGAGTGTGCAATTTTTTAAGAGTTCAGTGAGTAAGTATTTGATACTTACTTTTAGTACTCAGAATCATGTCTTGAATGAGTTATACAAATTTTACAAATGTATAAATGAATAATGTACAAAATACATTATTCTATAAGAAAATTATTGAATACAAGCTTCCAATGAACCTTCTAAAATATTAAATAGTGTAATTTGGTACACAAATATTACCATTTCTGGATTTTTTTTACAATTTTGAAAATGAAAAAATATATGTAGATATTTTTTATGATTACACATAATAATAAAACGTATGAAATTTTATTAATATTGATGTTACATTTCACAAGTATTCAGCAATTTTGTGATACTTACTGAACCTTTATTCTGGGTCAGATGTACCATACTAGGTATACAGTGTGCGCCATAATAAATGAAAATGAAAGTAATGGCATCCTTTTTTATAGTTTTATGATCAAATGAAAAACGAGGTTAAGACATGAAAAAATAAACCTTACTTAGTGGCGAATTTAAGGATCCTATCTGATAAAGTCTATGGATAAAACTATGTTTATACATCTTGATGTTTCATGTATGATATCAGATATGATTCTTTTAAAAACACAAAATCATTTAGTAAAATACTTTGTTTACTTGTGATTCCTCTACTCTATGTCTTGTTTTAATTAACATATTCGAGGAAGACCTTTCACTATTTTGAATGTGCTAAAACATGTGATACACACACATGAGAAATGATTTTTGTGGCATCCCATTACTGGGCATCTACCCAAAAGAACAAATGATACTCTATAAGAAAGACACCTGCACCCGAATGTTTATAGCAGCACAATTCACAATTGCAAAGATGTGGAAACAACCCAAATGTCCATTAATACATGAGTGGATTAATAAAATGTATATGTATACCATGAAGTACTATTCAGCTTTAAGAAACAGTGGTGATATAGCACCTCTTGTATACTCCTGGATAGAGTTGGAATGCATTCTACTAAGTAAAGTATCCCAAGAATGGAAAAACAAGCACCGCATGTACTCACCATCAAATTGGTATTAACTGATCAACACATAAGTGCACATATAAGAATAACATCTATTGGATGTCAGGCAGGGAGGACAGGGGGACAGGTATTTGCATACACAAAGAGTGCAATGCGCACCATCCAAGGGATGGGCACACTTGAAACTCAGACTTGGGGGGGAAGTGGGGAGGCAAGGGCAACATACATAACCTAAACATCTGTACCCCCATAATATGCTGAAATAAAAAAAAAAGTGACAAACCTACCTGAATTAGTCTGGTAATCAGATAGTTATTAATATAAAACTGTCATGGACAATAGGCACATCCCCTTGTCAAAATCACTCTAGCACCTGAGAAAATTCTAGACAATTTTCTAGTGGTGTGAAGGACAGAAAGTGTTCTGTCCATGAGACTTAAGATGAGGACTTCAGCCAGGCACAGTGGCTCACGCCTGTAATCCTAGCACTCTGGGAGGCTGAGGCAGGCGGAT